GAAGCCAGAAATTCAAGGTACATGGTGGCTAGGCATGGATGCACCTTAGCAGCCCAGGGAAGTGCTTGGCTCATTTGGGACAGTGAAAGATCAGCCAACCCTAGGTAGGAGACCCATGAGGACCCAAGCACAGTCAGTTGGTCATGGGTGTGGGATGAAGAGCAGCGCTTTGAGGAGGCACAGCCAAAGTAGCAGCTGAGGGAAAGCGAACAGCTGAGGACTCAGGAGACCATGGCTCCAGGAGAGCCTAGGGAGATACATAAGCTGTATCAGATAAGTTTTTAAACCACACATATAGAACCCTCAATATAAAACAGATAGGGGAGCTGCTCTTTGAACCAAAGAGGATAGTCTACAACCCTTTTTCTCACACTGCCACCCTCGCCTCTGGGGCACACCCTACTGCTTTTTGCAGTACAGTTTGAAATTAGATGAGATGAAATGCCTTCTTACACCAACATTCAGAAGTTTTTTTAGCCATACATCTGAGCAATCATATTTCACTTCCTATAAGATAATTTTGTTCTCTTAGCTTTTTGATTTGTGGAATTGCAAAGAAAGGAAGATACAGCAAATGTAAACAGAGAGTTACAACAAACTGTGGAATTTGAGGTTTTTGAGAATTTAAAGTTCATCTAGTTTAATTAGCTTATAACCACAGATGAGAAAACTGAAATTCAAGAGAATAAGTTGTCTTGAAAGAGGTCACGTGACTAATTAGAGAAAGACTGCAATCTAGAACCAGGGGAATCTGACTCCCAAACCCAGGATCTTTTCTCTGTGTATGTGTCTGTGAACATATTTTTGGAGTTCATAAATTTGTTTTCATGCTTTTAAATTTTGCATTTTCATCTTGGTAACAATATAAAACCATTCATTACTGTATGCCTATTCTGAACCATCTGGATGACCACTTATTAATTCTATATTCAAACTGTAGTGAAACCTTCCTTTGCTCAGGACGTAACCGTACAGGTGAGCCAAATACAGAAGACTCTGCCCCACAGCAACTAGTGCTGTATTCACATCCTTGCACTAGACTGTGTTGTAAGAGTTCCATCCTTGAACATATTTGTTCAAAAGTTACGAGGGGGTAGCAAATGCTTTTCCCCCACCCAATTCCAGCAATAATTTGATTTGATACCCATCAGTGAAGTTTTAATGTGAACTTTATGCTCAAGATAATAAGACAATTTTGCCTAGTTATAGGTGACACTTCATTAAAAATGGCACCTTACTCTCAAGCAGAATATTTAGACAAATAAGAGATCCGAACAACCTTAAGTAGCACAAAGAACCTTGAAGTCATTAAATATTCTCTTGTCTAATACATTTATGAAAATGGACATTTTCTACATTGGGATTATTAAAGTCAAAATGCTGAAACACTGCATATAGCACAGGACCTGAAATTATTTCTGTGAGTACACCCAATACTGAAATTTAGTTGTTACAGAAAAGCATAATCTTCCCTATAAATTGATATTGCTAATTTAAATTTATTAGTTTCATGGTTTCAAAATTCAATTTATAAATTTGTCTTAATCTTGTAAGAGCAATAGCTTGTAGCCTTCTTCTCTGGTTTATATATTTTTTAAAGCATTAAAGTAACATATTTTCTTATACTTGGAAAAGGAGATAATTATTTCTGTTAAAAATAAGTCCAGGCACAAAGAGGGTAACAGCAGACACTGGGGCCTACTTGAGAGTAGAGGGTGGGAGGAGGAAGAGCAGAGAAAGTAACTATTGAGTACTAGGCTTAGTACCTGGGTGACAAAATAATCTGTACAACAAACCCCTGTGACAGGAGAGTTTACCTACATTACAAACCTGCATGTGTGCCCATTAAAACCTTAAATAAATGTTGGGGGAAAAAAATCGGCTGGGTGTGGTGGCTCATGCCTGTGATCTCAGCATCTTGGGAGGCCAAGGTGGGTGGATCATTTGAAATCAGGAGTTCAAGGCTAGCTTGATCGACATGGTGAAACCCTGCCTCTACTAAAAACAAAAAAATTAGCTGGGCATGGTGATGGGCGCCTATAATCCCAGCTGCTTGGGTGGCTGAGGCACGAGAATCTCTTGAACCCAGGAGACAGAGGTTACAGTGAGTTGAGTTTGTGCCACTGCACTCCAGCCTAGGCAACAGTGTGAGACTCTGTCTCAAAAAGTCCAGGGCTGGGTGTGGTGGCTTGTTCAACACTTTAGAATGCCAGCCCAGGTGGATTGCTTGAGCCCAGGAGTTCAATAGCAGTCTGGGCAACGTGACAAAACCCCATCTCTACAAAAAATACCAAAAAAAAAAAAAAAATCAGCCAGGCTTGGTGGCACGCACCTGTAGTCCCAGCTACCTGGAGGCTGAGGTGGGAAGAACTACCTGAGCTCGAGAGATCAATACTTCAGTGAGTGAGCCGTGATTATGATTGCACCACTGCGCTCCGGCCTAGGCGGCAGAGTAAGACCCGGTGTCAACAGTATTAAAATTAAAAAATTAAAAAACATCCCAGATATTACCCAGTTTGAGAAGCAGTGCTAACAGTGCTTCTTCCTGGGATGCATGGTTACTTAAAGATAGAGTGGTGGAGAAAAACCTAGATCTTGGATTCCAGAGTCTCAGGTTCAGGCCGGCTCCGCTAATAACTAACTATATGTCTCCACTCAGTCATGTGCCCTCCCTGACCCTCGGTTTTCTTGTTGGTAAATTAGGGAGATTGCAAGAATCACAAATCCTTCTGCCTACTGGAACCAGGTAGAGTAATTAAGTGAAACAGGCCAGTGTGGGAAACAATAACTAATTCAGAGGACATTTACCCTGTATTTAAAAATATTTATATTCAAAACATTTTTTTGGCACAACAAGCAAAAACAACAAATCTGTGGATCGGATTCCATCTGAAAATTTCCAGTTTGCAAAGCCTAAATTATATAATCTTTAGAGTACCTTCCCCACCTGTGAAGCATTAATAGCAATGACTAATATAAATCAAGATAATCCACCGTCTATATGATCAGTACAAAGTGGTAGTGGGCATAAGAGAAAATCCTTCAGAAGACATCAGTGTATTTTAGTGTTTTAAGAGTGAAAGACCTTTCTTGGTTCCAACTGTATCTAACCAAAAATATTCTCTGAATTATATCATCATTCCTCTAGTATTATACTCCCTATCCAAGCCATTTGCATTCAACAAACTATGGGCCCAGCAGTGTGTTAGGTGCTGGAAAGATCTCTAAAGATGATACCTTTTTTTTTAATTAGAGAATATGTTTGAATGGTTGTTTTCCACTGTAAAAATTTTTAACCTCAATTTGTTCTAGGTGTTATTGATAAGAACTTAATTTGAATTAAAATTAAAATATTAGATAAGGGATATGATATGTATTTTTTACCCTTCAGAGTTTGAGGAGACAGCATGAGAATACCTTGAAATGGATATTGTGTTAGTAGAAACCATGCAGTTATTTGACACACTTTCTAACTTTAGAAGATGTTTTCCAGACTTAGTACAGGCTCTAATTTCTCAGTTTCTCAATAGTTAGTATTTAGTACATGCTGACTTGCTGCCACTGACCAGGACATAGCATATTGTTTTCCTTTCTTACATCAATATTCTTCTTCCTCCCATTTGTGTCTAGCCTCAGACATTCCTCATGTTAACCAGTAGGCAAAAATAAAAGGCCTATTGAAATATTTGACTTCAGTTCAATATCTGCTATCACTCTTGCTAAAGAGATGTTTGAACTCAACTACAAGCTTTGAAACACTGTCTGTAGGAGTTTAGTTTAAAAGAAAAACAATAAACACCAAATAGAGTGAGGAATAAGAAAGAGCAAGAATTTAATCTGTCCCTGACCACCCAGTTTGTGGTAGGTTACCACATTTATTCTTATAATTGGCCATTTCCTGTTTTAAATGCCTTTTAGTCATGTCTGCCACCTTTCTCTCAGTTTATTAGCCTTGTGGTCACCACATTACCTTTCTCTTCAAAATCAATTGACATTTTTATGAAAAGCGTTTTCAAGGTATTAGCTCCTAGAGAGTGGCATATAGAGCATTGACTGCCACATTAGAAAGCCCCTCTTAGCACAACTCAAGTGCTTAAGACATGAGCTATTATGTTTTCAAGAGATTTATGTGTTTTCATTTAGATTTATACAGTGTACTATGAATATATCGGCATGATTTTAAAAATATAAAATATATGGCCTCACAATGGTACATACCCTATCCACTGCTTAATAACATTTATGAATGAGGGGAAAACATCCATTTTTAAAAAGTAACACAAAAATTCAGAATTTTGGTAGTTGGTCTCTAGATGGCTCACATCATTCTTCTGTAAGCAAAGCCCCAGTAACCTAATGTCTTAGGCCACCTTGAGATGGGAAGTCCTTACCACTTTATGAATACTGTGACAGTGGGTAATAATAGAATTTCAGGTCAGCATATATTTTTTATCTTACAGGAAATAAGCAATTACAGATCTTACAATAATCAGGGTCTGAATTTTGTGAAAAAGGTTAGCTGACTAGGCCAGGCATGGTGGCTCACCCTGTAATCCCAGCACTTTCGAGGCAGGAGGATCACCTAAGGTCAAGAGTTCAAGACCAGCCTGACCGACATGGAGAAACCTCGTCTCTACTAAAAATACACAATTAACTGGGCATGGTAGCATGTGCCTGTAATCCCACCTACTTGGGAGGCTGAGGCAGGAGAATCACTTGAACCCACGAGGCGGAGGTTGCAGTGAGCCAGGGTCATGCCATTGCACTCCAGTCTGGGCAACAAGAGCGAAACTTTGTCAAAAAAAAAAAAAAAAAAAAAAAAAAAAAAAAAAAAAAAAAAAAAAACTGACTTGAAAGATGTATTCATTCATCCAGTGGTCCAAATAGTATTTCTATTGATTTATTTTTCATAGAGATCTGAGCAGCTGGAGCAGCTGTTTGATATGGCCACAAAAAAAAAAAAAAATAGTAACTTACTGATTCAAAACATTTGTCTCTAGGTGCCAGGTCGACCTGTCAGCCCTCAGTAGGGAACAGACGCACAAGTTGGAGTTGCAGCTGGAAGAGGGTGAGGGACACCTGGTGCTGCTGGTCACTCTGACAGCATCAGCCACAGTCAGCATCTCTGACCTCTCCGTCAACTCCCTGGAGGACCAGAAGGAACGAGAGGAGATATTAAAGAGATATGTACGTATGTAACCCTCCTCCTTCCAAAGTCACATGTGACTAGACGAGGTTGTAAACAATTTACCTGGAGGGACAGAAGTACTTCTGAGAAGCTGTCTGATGCAAGAATTGGCACAAGTAAAAAGCTGAGTGAAAACAAATGCCACACGGACCTTTACAGAGACACTTGCACTACCCACCCATGTCTAGAGACTTGAGCTTCTCTAGAATCTCTTCCAGAGCAAATTCCATATTCTGAGATTCTAGTCAGTTATTTTATCGTGCAGGGATGCTACCCACAAACGAAGGCCAGGTTTATACGACATGACTTTAAAATTAATTTACCGATTCTTTGAAGCTGCAATTAAAATATCTTTGTCTTTCCAAGTTTGAGATGGAGTTAATGGTACTTACATTAATTAGTACCTTGGTAACTAAAGAGTATTCACAGGAGTGATTTTTTATCTTCAGCTGCTCAGAAAAGCCTCACTTCGTTCCTTTAATTTTCTTAATTGAATGTGAAATAAAATTAAAAGGAGCCTCCTTTTTGATCGAATGTAGAACGATAGCATGGAATAGCAAATCACTAAAATAACTACCCTCCTCAAATTATACCAAACTGAAATATTCACAACCATATCTTACTATTTCCCAGCATCCTCCCAAAGGACATTTCCCACAATGTAGTTTTCTTGAATCAACAGAGAGGGGAGCTCTTACTCCACCATTCTCTCTCAATGGAGGTTTGAAAAAATAAATGCCTCAGTACCCATGAAGCTGGGAAAAAAGCTTTTCCACTTAAAATGACAAAGCTTGTATTGTACAGTGCCGCCAGGTGTTTAGAAGGCTCCTCTAGACACTCAGCCATGAAACCAAGCTCTGACTAACAAAGAACCACTTTTTTTTTAACTTTAAAATATTCCTATTTGCTGACTGACATCCTTTCAATAACTGAATTTAATAAAGATGTACCTTATCAGGCTGTGCAGATAACATGAAGTGCTGGTACTAATGCTCTACAATATTCTTCAAACAGATTAGCAGGATGTGCGCTTCAGCAAATTTATTCTGGCTATCTCCACTGAATCAGCTGTCTGCTAATGCTTGTACAACTCATCTACCAATGGTGTTATCATAAACAGTTTAATAGCGGTGACTTAGCAAGGCTAAATAGTATATATTTTTAAACCACCTAAGAGCCTAAGATATTGTGTGACATCTTCTAATATATAATTGCAATAATGAAGATTATTTTACATTGTGGGACCCACCAAAACATATTCTTCTGTCACCAGAAGTGAGCCTCATGAATTACAACAATTTTAATGGAATTAATCAGTATATTAATATAAAAATTCTTCTAGGCATTATAATACTATAGTTGATGGATTAATATTTTGATGTTATCCCATATATTAAGGGATACTGCTGCCTAGGTAATTAGAAGTAATCCACCTATTATTAATTTTTTTTCTTTTTGCCGGATGGCCGAATGGCAATGGGCCATTTCCATTCAGAATTTTGAATATTTCCACACCTTTTTTCAATAAAACATAAAATATTAGGTAGATGTTTGACTGAATTATCAGATTATATTCTGTTCAATATATTAAAAAGTGAACCATGTTTAAATACACTTTTTTTCAGCCTGGAATTTTAGGCAGAGACCTATACCTCCCTCTAAACACATACCTGCTAAGAAGCCACTCTATGCAACATAGCACATGTGTTATTTTACTCATAGCCATGCAAGGACAAAGACCTATGGATTAGGCTTCAGTGTGTTTCCTTTCTATTATAAGGATCATTAAATGAATGAATGAATGCCATATCATATCTGAAATATTATTTGTTTTGGAGAAACGTATAAAGGAGGTGTTTTGGAGAATTATATTTTCCTGCAAGAACATATGTATTTTTAAAGGTTGAGGTCAAATTTAGGAATTTGACACTGATCACAGTCAGGAAAGCAAATGAATTGCCCTCACTCTGATGGGAAGCAGCCCTCAAAAAGCCCTCCATTACTGCTGTTTAGCTGTTCATTGCTAAGGATTGAAGCCCCACAAATTAAACAAACATCACTGTGTGAGCCATTTTTTGATCACCACATTCTGAAAAGATGGCTAATTCCATTTTTCTTTTTTTCTTCTTTTAGGAGGAGGAAATGAGGGAAGGTCAATAGGGGGCGGGTAGTAATGGGTAGTAGACCAAGAGCAATTGTATGACCTTTTCAGAACGGGTATGCTAAACCCTTGCTCCCCCTTGTCACAGTTTAAAAACCAGAGGAGCTAGTTTAGAGAAGAAGTTGTTAGCATTCCATTTTTATTATGACATTTCACCGTCATCTGATTTAATGTCCCTTGACCGGATTGTCCACCGTGAGACGATGGGCTTGAAATGTTATTTAGAGCATTGATAAAAGGTGAGCGGTTCTAAGATGACAGCAAGTCATAAGGCTGGTGGTGTGACATTAATTTTCTCCATAACAGAGATGGAATAAGACGTCACGGTGACAAGCTGTCAATCAGCTCTGGCCCCTCAGAGCATCTCGATGCCATAGGATGGGGTATTGCCTCTCCCGTAATAGAGCTGAACTGAGATGCTCTCCCTGACAGCTGCTGCAGCCATAGAGAAAATATATTATACAGCCTTTCATTAAAAAAATAAAGAGGACTCCTCTCCAGAGCATTTCAATCTTTTCCCATCTATTGAGGGCTGAAAGGATTCACAGCAAATCATAGATTCCTCTGCTATGGAAATTTCTGGCTTCAGAAGCCATCCAGGTTTTTAGGCCTTCTAAAATAACCATAAATAGCAAGGCAGGAATACCTCTTGATGAATACCTCTTGATGAAGTTATATTTTTAAATGAATATATTTATTTATTTATTTTACTTCTTATTATAATCGATGTGTCACTGGCCTAAACAGTTGAAATTTGCAATAAATTATGGAGTATCAGCTGACTTGGGGAAATGAAACCTTCAAACAATAATTACCCATTCAAATGGGAAGCAGAGGATCAGAGCTGAAGCACCAGAAGACAATATGTCTGTGAAATTAGGCTACCAATGTGAAATGAGTCTCAGACATAAGGACTGATGATATTTGTTTCAGTCAAAATAAAACTTGATTTAAATTGCCTCTGAAAATTAAAGTACAGAAACTTTTTTGATAAAACTATTCCCCATCATTAGGGTCAGAGACTTACCTGATTTACAACATTGTGTAAGCACTGAGATAAGGAACTTTCCAAACTTGATATTACTGTTGAAACACAACATGCCTACAAACCTCTGAATTATACTCTGCTGTCTAAAGCCCCCACTCTGAAACCCTTCATTTACAGGAATTTAAATGGAGAGAGAAGTGCATTTTTACTGAATCTTGTCACCTGGGTATTTTAAATAGATTTTTGGTGATAAACAACTGTTTAAAAATAGTAAAAGATTAACAGTTAATCCTGATGCTAAACACGCTTATAAAAAGTTAGGCTATGAGATTGCCTATATATCCACATTTCCTCCTCTCAATATACCAAGGTCATAGCTTCAGTGTAAACAATGACTGGCCATATGGGACTGATAAAGTTCATATCGCAATGAGCTTTTGCTTGTCAGTATTCTCACATTATTAATGTGATGATGGGAATGCTTTTTACTCTACTAACATTTTAATAGATACTTTTATTATGCAAAAGTATGTTGTCTGGTTGTGAAACATTTTGTAGATTATGAAACAGAAGTACTTTTGATTTACTGAGTAGAAGTGCTGATCGAGTCATAAGAAAAATCCTATGAAGTGTAAATAAACAAATACATGTCAGCACTCTGTTGGTTCATTTTACTCTCAAAGTATTTGTGCCTACTAATTAGACTTCTGAATTATTGTATTTGTTTCCCTCTTTTAATTCCTTCAACTGCTACACTTATAAAACACCACCATGATTAATTTACGAAGTGAAATAGATTTTATCATTTGGATCTATTTTCCTATCCAAGTTTCCATACTTCCATACACACTAAAATAGCAAATAAAACTATAAATTTAAGAAAAAATTCCACTTTTGAATTGATTTTTAGTCATCAATTTGATTGACTGTAAAAGATTGTGTATGTCTTTTACTTATGTAGAACTACAGCGGTCTTTTGAAACAAATACTAGAAAATAGTCTTTAGGTAATTTAAACTTCATCTAGCCCATGAAATTTCCAAAACTCACCAAGAGGAAAATAGTAGAAAAAAATAATTAGTTTAATGTTGACCTTCTTATCCCCAGAGTCTGAAGAGTGTTACATAACCAACAGTGTGAGATTTAATATTGATAACTGGGCTGAGAGTGGTGGTTCATGCCTGTAGTCCCAACACTTTGGGAGCCAAGGCTGGAGGATCCCTTGAGGCCAAGAGTTGGAGACTATCCTGGGTAACATAGCGAGACCTTTTTCTATAGAATTTAAAAAAAAATTTTTTTTTTTAATTAACCAGGTGTATTTGCACATGTCTGTAGTTCCAGACACTCAGGAGGCTGAGATGGAGGGAATGCTTGAACCCAGGAGTTGGAAGTTACAGTGAGCTATGATCACACCACTGCACTCCAACCTGAGACCCCATCTCTAAAAAAAAAAAAAAAAAAACAAAACTCCACTATTCTCCAAATCATTATATCTACATATGAAAATATTTCTTAGAGTGCTTTGCTTGCTGGAGATTGAAAAAAAAAAAAAAAAAAGGCAGATACATCTATTCTAGAATTTATTGTTCACCATTATTTATGGATAATTATTTATGGAAGTAAATGTGTTTTTTTTTAAATTCTTTCAGAAAATCTACTTATATAGCAACAATCATCCACATGGTGTGTGTGTGTGTGTGTGTGTGTGTGTGTGTGTGTGGTGTACATTCATGATGGCGGAAGGGTAATTTATACTGAAGAAACACAAATGACCCTTTGAACCCCTTATGCAGCATCAAAGTTTCCATTTTATACATACTAAAATAGCAAATGAAACTATAAATGTAAGAAAAATCACTCACTATTTTGAATTTCTTTTTAGTCATCAATTTGATTATTTTAAAAGATTATGTATGTATTTTACTTATGTAGAACTACTTAAGTTCTTATGTCAAATTTCATAAGTCTTTTGAAATAAATGCTAGAAAACAGTCTTTAGGTAATTTAACCCTCAGCTAGCATATGCAATTTTCAAAACTCACCAAGAGGAAAATAGTACCAAAAAATTTTTTAATTAGTTTAATGTTGATCTTCTTAACCCCAAAGTCTGAAGATACACTAAAAAATTTAATGTTTTCTCAGCACACTCTTTAAGACTCCTTGGGACCTTTCTTTTCTAATACTGATGTTGGGGTCTTTCAGAGCCCATTGAGGATATTTCACAACCTGAAAGATGTGGGATTTCTCCAGGTGAAAGTCATCAGAGCGGAAGGATTGATGGCTGCTGACGTCACTGGTAAGAGATAATGCAATTCCCCTATTGCTTATATCAAGCAGTACACGAGGTCTGCACCATTTACTAATTCAACTCTGCATTTCAGCTGACTGGATCATCAAAGTAAATAAATATAAAGATTCAGGGTTGGCCAGCCACGGTGGCTCATGCCTGTAATCCCAGCACTTTGGGAGGCCGAGGCTGGCAGATCACCTGAGGTCAGGGGTTTGAGACCAGCCTGGCCAACATGGTGAAACCTTGTCTCTACTAAAAATACAAAATTAGCTGGGCATGGTGGCACGTGCCTGTGGTCCCAGCTACCCAGGAGGCTGAGGCAGGAGAATCATTGGAACCCAGGAGGTGGAGGTTGCAGTGAGTCGAGATCACACCACTGCACTCCAGCCTGGGCAACAGAACGAGACTTGGTCTCAAAAAAAAAAAAAAAAAAAAAAGATTTAGGATTGATCTTAGAAATATTTTCCAACCCCTTGATTTTTATAGTATCTCTGCTTTTCAAAGGCAGGGTGGTATATTAAAAATAAACACTAAAAAGCACAATGATTTTTGAATTGTTACCTTCTTCAAAGTTTAATCAGTGTAGTAGGAATATTTCTTCCAGGTATTGTTATTTCCAGATACTGAAGCAGTGCTATACAGAATCAGCTTCTGTCATAGCATTAACACTTACATTTCAAACATGCATGAAATCTGTTGCATATTTCACTGAAAAGTTTAGGTGCATAATACTCAATAACTTGGTATGAACTCTTGATATTTGGGTTGGTGATCCAACTCATTAGTTGTCCAAATTCTCTGGCACATCCCAGAGATAATTCTGGATCTCAACTAAGCCTCTGGATTATTTGAAATTTCTTAAAGTAGGAAACGGAGCTGTAAAAATGTCAAAATTAGTTTTGTCTCTTAAAGCTTTCTGATTTGGGTAATGCTGTTTCTGTAACATATTAACAAATGGGCTGATGCAATTATTTCATCAATTTTCAGAATTAAATAATTATTTTGAATTTACAACAATGTGACCATTCATTTATGATCGTATTCCATAAGGATTTGGGGGATGTCTTTACTGTTCCTTAAATTAGCCATCTCAAGATAGACAATAAATAGGACTGACTTGACCAATTTTGTGCAAATGTTACTGTTTCTGAATGATAAGATCCACTTATTATTACTCTAGAAATATGCTTACCATCGTGAACTTTCAGCCAGATAATCCTAACGGGGGAACAGACTTATTTTAAGGGAAGAAGTGTACTTTTTCTATTATCCAAGGATCTGAAATCATGGTACATTTCTTTAATTCATTCAACAGAATCAAAAACAAATTAAAAGATAACATGCTTTCAAATGAAAATAGCAGATGTTTGTTCCAAAAACTGCGATATTTTTATATTTTAATGTTTGCCTATTAAGTGACCGTGTGTGAGAAAATTAAAAATATTAGTTTACAGTTCCTTTAAAGAGGTAATTATCAACTCATTTGTAACCAAGAAGATGATAACAGTTGTCACATATTTTTTCAAAACAGGCATACCTGAAAATAGGAGAGTGGGTAGTTTGTAATATTTGCATATATGCTAATTTGGCTCCTTGTACAAAACTGAATGTAAAATATATACTTTTTTTATTTATGATATTTATTTCTAGTATGATTATAATCAAATTAATCTGGCACAATCATTTCTTTTAGAAAAATGCAAGTACTATTTACTTCAAAAGCTTAGATACCTGCCCATTATACAATTGGATAGAATTGTATAAGTTTGTCTTCTCTTGGAAAGAAGCTGTCATTGATTTTCAAACTTCATGAATATGCAAACTAGATTAACCCAGTTGGCCTGTGTGCCGCTATGGAAGTTAAAATACATGTTCTTTCAAACCTGGAAAAAATAGAGATATTTCTTTCCTGATGTAAATTGATGTGAATAACAATAGCCTTTCCCTTGGGTATTCAGTGAGACATAATTTTCATTTAATAAAATGAACATTAATTTGGGGAATACTAAATAACAGAGTCTCCATTTTTTCCTCCAGTTTTAGAGATATAAATCTAATGATTCCCCATTTCATGCTGACCTTATAATCTAATGTGCTCTGAATTGAACAAGAGAGATGTTGAACTATTCAGGGGCAAAAAGATAATTCAGTCTTTGACCTTGCTCACTCTTGGACCTTCTGTGGTCTTTATGACATTTGTGATGGTGGCAAAAATTGAAGACTATATATTTGAGTCCGAAATGTGTGAATATACTACCAATTTTAAAAATAATTTTTACTTTTGAAAAGGATACTTTATATATACACACACATATAAATACATACACATCCACACACACACACATTTACACATGTATCCTGATGCTTCCTTGTCTTTGTCATTAAATTTGGGACACAAGTAAGCTCTTTGTCTGCTTTCTCTCTTGCTTGTTCAAAGTACTTTAAAGATATGCTGTGCATCTCAGTAGATAACAACAGTCAGGCCCTACAAGTTATTAGGCAATAGTTTGAAAAGAGGCAATTGACTAGTGCCGTCTTCAAATCCTCAAGTTAGCATCCATTTAGAAATTTTGTAGATGGAGAGGGGAGATTTTAAATCACTAGTAACTGTCTGTGCTAAGGCAAGAATATTTTCTGACATGGTACAAATGAGCCTGTTACTATAAGATACGCGCTTGGTTTCAGAACACTTTTTCTAAATAAGTCTAAAGAGACAAATTTATATTTGAACAACTTGGCCCTATTTTTAAGATATTTTTAATGATCTGAACATAAAGTTAAACTCCCATTGTTTCAGCAAAAAATGTTAAATTATAATATTCCATCATTAGACATGAGCACAAGAAAGAAAGGTTCTATAGTCTTTTAAGTAGCCATCAATCTTACCACAGTTACAAAGAATTTTTCCCTCTCAAAATGTAAAATTTTTCTTTTGTTACAACACATTCATTGAGAAACATTGTGATACTGTATTAACTCTGTGTGAATAAAGAGCAATTGAGACTCTCTTTGAATGAGTGAGTATAAAGCACAAATTACTTTTTAATGAAACCCTCAATTCTTTCCCTTTCCACAAAAAGCCTATAGCCTTGTTCAGCTGAACACTACTACAGTAGGTCACTTCAGTTAAGCCCCTAATAAACTGTTGATAGTTGAGGGTAGTTTTTTCTTCGGTCTCAATAGCCCAGTGTTGGACAGTGCACTTCAAATCATTAAGGTTAATACAGATTTAAAAAAGAGATTAACTCTGGTGGTTAAGGCCTCAATTTACAACTCCCACACATACACATGCATTGAGCAAGGCACAAGTGTGGATTGAAATTTCAGTCAAATTGTGGGCAGCTTTTCACAGCCTGAGAAAGTGGCACTCTGGTTTGAAAAGTTGGTCAGCTAAATTCTTCGTAAGGGAAAAAGTTTGAGTCACTGTAAAATACCTCTCAGTACAGCTTACTTACCTTTCAGCTAACCAGTGAAAAGGTTAATGTCTCTCCGCACCATCAAAGCAAGACCTAGAGACTCTCTGGCCCTGCGTTGACTGGGGAAGATTCTCTCTGCAGCTAAATCAAGCGTTCCTTAAAACTCTACACATTGTAAGGAAAGGCCAATGGTGGGGTGGGGTGGGGTGGGGTGGGGGAATATTTTTTCTTTGGGTGGTAGGAAATAGTTCATGTTATCATTTGCCTTTTTTAGCTTCTGATTATTCTTTTCCTTGAGCAGGCCCTAATTTCTGCTTCAACAGAACATTCCAAGTCTCCTACATTGAGTGAGGCTTTCTTTGCAGAGTATTTAGACCCAGCCTATTGGTTCTTTCAAGTTCTAAGAGGAGAAAGAGAAAAGAGTTCTTCTCCTCCGCCCCTCCCCTTCATTTCATTTTCCCCTGGGTTCTCTCTCTCTTTCTCTCTGTTTTTTTTCTGAGCGCCTAAGGAAGAGGTCGTAGCTTCCCCAGGGAGACCAGCCACTCAGTTTCTGAAACAGCGATATGGGAGAACTGTGAAACCCTTCAAAAGATGCCCTACCTTTTCACTGTACTAAAAGGTACACTAATATAAAACTTCTCCACCCCAGGTGAATTGATCTCTCAAATTAATGCACCATCTCCTTCAGGAAACAATAGGGGAGAGGAAGAGAAAAAAGGGAGAGAGAGAGAATTTTACAATTAACAGAATCTGTCACTGAAATCGTCCCATTAAATGAGCGTATCTTTTTCTAAAACAAGGCTATGCAAAAGACTTGTGACTTGCCAGCCCCGTAGTCTGGAAACCTACTAGTTATTAAGAGAGATGTTTACTACCCCTTTATTTGCATAGACTTTTCCCATGTTTTTCTTTTGGAAAACTGTCTTCATTGTTGGAAAATATTTAAGTAACAAAACAGCAGAAAAAGACATGCTACAGTTTTTTTATCAGCTTCTGTGAGAGTCTTATTATCTTAAGAAATAACAGTTAGCAGCTCAGATTCATTAGCAGAGCTAAATTTAAGCCCCATTTGACAGGCTGCCTAGAAAACATTTTGTTTTGCTGTCTGTGGGCTTTAATTAAGATGTGTTCAATTTCAGTCCTCTTCAGTCTAGCTCCCGCCCCCAGGCCCCCACCCCCAACTTGCTGTGTCACAGACCGGCGATCAGACACTTTTAGATGGTCCGGCCCATGACTTTGACCTTCTGCGCAGTCCGGCGTTCCCTGGGGAACCGTTCAACTCATGAGGTCTGATTTCACACTTCCAGGATGCCTCAGCTCTCTTAACAATGACAGGGAGACAAAGCCCTTTAGAGCAGGCCGCATGGGGACTTGTTTAAATTGGAAACCAGAGAGGAGTCAAGGAACAAGGTTATGGGCTACAGAATGGTGCTTTTAATAAAGAGCTCACAGCTCTGGCTCAGCTCAAAGAGGTCTACCTCTGTACAATTAATTGAGCCATTTATCTGGAGCATCTTAGGCCTCTACTTTCTCACAGAATTGCGTGGTAAATATCAGCTAAGAAGCAAATGAGATATGCATGAAATGAAT